AACATACGTTATGAGCTTCCAGAAAACAGAGAGGTAGAGAGGTTTGTGGAGCATGTGAATGAGGATAAATGGAACTACGATGTCAATGTGTCTTCTTTTATTCTAGACGAGCTAGAAGGGATATATGGATATAGTGGCTCCAAGAGTAGCAACTCAACTTCTACTTCAAAGGGAGAGACATTTGAAGATAACACGCATTCTGCGGGAAAGGAAGATAAAGGCAAAGACATTGCCAATAGTGCCATGAACAACAACCATGACAGTGAGTTTGTTGGTCGGGGAGTGGAAGACTTGGAAGAGAATGATTGTGTGTATTTTGAAGATGATTTGAGAAGTATGGGTTCAGATTATGGAGGGGTCAACCAAGGTCGTGTGTGTGAGGAAAGAGACTTCAAGAAGGATGACTTTAAATTTGCCCTTGGTATGAAGCTTCAGAATAGTGTTGATTTCAAATGGGTTGTCACATACCAAGAAGCAAAGAGCATGAATGATATAAAATTTGGGGAAAATGAAAGTAGAAGTCTAGAGCAGTGCGCATGCACGAACATTGTAAGTGGACCATATTTTGGTCCAAAAGTAACTCAAGGTGTCCATTCACAGTTAAAACTTACTTTGAGGAGCATACGTGTGGAGGCCACAACATGAGAAAAAGACAATCACCTCTGATTTCCTTGCAAAGGTGTATAAGATGAGTTTAAGATCAACAACATCTAGGTTATAAAGGAGCTTCAACAACATGTCCTGAAGAAGTACAAGTGTTGGAAGAAATGATAAGTCAACTAGACTTTAATGTTGAAGTTGTAGTACATTAATTATTTTTAATGTACCTAAGTAGTCATTGTTAATTTTTTTAGGACCTTCTGAACTCTCAACAAAGTACCTCTACACCGACATCTAGGCTTTCATAATCTGTTGGGGGGGGGGGGGGGGGTGTGTGCAATGACTACACAGGTAAGAAACAATGTGAAGAAAGTACCAACTTGAAAAAGGGCTTGCAAAAAAACCCGATGTAATGTGACAAAGAAGAAGTGATTTCATGGAAGTGAAAGGGATTTATGAGAAACTTCTATGCTATATTTTCATGCTATGTTATGTATGGCATTAAAATTTTTCAAATGATAAACACTCATGCTATATTTGGTATACCATTATATTTTTGCAAGTAATAAACACTCATGCTATAATTGACATGAAACCATATTTTTGGAGGATGTGCAAGACACTTGTATGTTGTGTAGCACCCTCACGTGTAAACACTTCTTAAACGCTTGCTTTGCTCATTATTATATGGGTGTTTAATACTTCATCCTATTTTTAAAAGTTGCAACATTGTGATTTTGCACTATTCACACACCTTACTTTGATCACTATTTTCTACTAAAATTAAAGCTCAAAAGAGGAAACACAAATCTGTCTTTTGTATTTCAAAACATAAATTATCTTAGGGAAAAGGTGCAAATAAGCCCTCGAACTAATCGAAAAAGTGCAAATCACCCCTTTTACAGGATGCTCTGTTTGCCCGTCGCAATTTGGGGAGGTTACCGGTGGATTTTTTTGTAATCATTTTTTTCATTAAGTCTAGCTTACACATGCCAAGTTTCAGGTAAAAATTCAACCGGGAAGACAGTCAAATGATTTTCTGAAATATACTGCGATGTTTAACTGTGCAGTTATCTTCAAACATTGATTTGTCTGCATTCACGGTTGAATTTTTAGCTGAAATTTGGTATGGGTAAACTAGACTTAATGAAGAAGATGCTCAAAAAAATTCATCAAAAAATTCCACCGGGAACCGCCTCAAATGACGACGGACAGACAGAGCCTCCTATAAAAGGGGTGATTTGCACTTTTTCGGTTAGTTCGAGGGCTTATTTGCCCCTTTTCCTATTACCTTAATACTTCGTACTAAATGTAGAACTCGTTTGGTAACATTAAAATCAACGTAATCGGCCGATTCTGCTGAAATTTATGAAATTCTCGATGAACTAGCTGAGTTGGTTGATTCTGCTGAATTATGAAAAAACATATTTAAAATATATTTTATTAATAAAATAAAGAAAAAGTTATATGAAAAATAGCTAAAATGGGTATTCACAGTAATTTTAGTCAATCCATCCACCAAAGTAACTTCAATCTTACTTATTGTTTTGGTTAATACATAATTTAGCGCATGAAATTAAATGTTATGTGTTTAGTGAAAAAATTGATTGATAAAACTGATAAGCCGAAAAACAGTGTTACCGAACAACTCTTAACATACATAAGAATAAGTATGACAATTCAGGTTTTGAATTTTGATAGATCAGATTCAGACTATAGAGTTTATGTAATGAGCCAGAACTTTCGAATTCATTTTTAACAAGTAGAAATGTGGAATACCTGTGCGATGCACGGTCAGTGATTTTTTTTTCTTTCAAATTTCGTTGTGGCAAACAATTCAAACTACACAGACATTTGACGACAACATTCATCTCTCTGCAATATTGATATATCGAAAACACAACCACATAGGATAATCGATAAAAAAATAATCGAAACACACTTATAATATTATGTGAATAAATAGAGTACCAAGCATGACTTAAAAGCTCGAAAACATCCAACTAATTTGTACATACCATAACATAACATTGTAAAAATGTATTACATGGAATTGACTATAGTAATGTTGTGACAATACATCTTTTGGTAATCTTTTTACAAGACATGTAAACAATCTTTTGACATTCCAGAAGGCATGTTTCTAAATAATATCATGACAATACATCTAAATAATTATGAAGATATTGTGTATGTGTGTGTAGGGCTGGCATTTTAGACCGAAAAACCGAAAATCGAACCGAAAAAAACCGAACCGCTTTGGAAAAAAACCGAACCGAACCGAACCGATTGAAAATGGGACCCGAAAATTGGGACCCGATAAAAATCGGTTCGGACTCGGTTTATATTTCTAAAAAATCGGTTCAAACCGAACCGAACCGACAATTTTTATATTAGTAATACTAATAATTAATGACAGTTTAATACAGGTATAATATTATTCCGAGTACGAATTGGACGAATTGGACTAGTAGCGGAGTTGGGCAGCCGTAGCATATTCTCATTGAAACGTCGGGGGATCGATTCTTGCTTGCATCCGTAATGTTTGATTTTTTAAAATTGGCTTCTTTCCTCTTCCATTTTGTCCCACATCGGATAATGAGTAGCATCCTACTCCAAAATCATCAATATAAACTAGGTCCCTCAGTTTAGAATGACAAGATACATTCTAGGCAGCTAAGACACGTTCTAGGTTGCCATTGGGCTCAAAATTTAGCATGTTTCAATTGATTTTAGTCTATTGGATATTAGTTTAAATTTAATTATTACAATTGAGTCGGTTTTTTCGGGTTCCGGTAAACCGAACCGAAAAAATCGGGCACCAAAAATCGGTTTCTGATATTATATCGGTTTGGTTTCGGTTTTGATAATTTTGTAAACCGAAATATCGGTTCGGTTCGGGTATATGGTGAATCGGTTCGGGACCCGAACCGAACCCAGCCCTATGTGTGTGTAGTAGATAATGTGAACATAAATTTGAACAATAACATCTTTTTGGTAGTTACATAATTTTGTTCATAGTTTCAGAAAATTATTCCACTCGACGTTTTATCGATGATTTAGTAAATATGTATTTTCAAATTTCTTTGGACATTTTCTACAAAAATGACAGGTCATGGGTCTCATATTTTCTGAGGTATTCAAACATGCATTTTTTGTATTTGGTTTAATTTTGATATAGGCAAGGGAGAACTATCAAATAAGCCCTCAAACTTTCATAAAAAGTGCAAAGAAGCCCTTTTACATGAGGCTTTGTCCGTCTGTTGCTATTTGGGGCGGTTTTCGATGGAATTTTTTGATGAAATTTTTTGAGCTTCTTCTTCATTAAGTCTAGTTTACCCATACCAAATTTCAGCTAAAAATGCAATCGAGAAGCAAGTCAAATGATTTTCTGAAATATATTGCGCTGTCTAACTGCACAGTTATCTTCAAAAATTCATTTGAATGCCTTCCGGATTGAATTTTTAGCTGAAATTTGGTATGAATAAACTAGACTTAATGAAGAAGATACTCAAAAAATACCATTAAAAAATTCCACCGTAACCCCCCAAATTGTGACGGCCGGACAGAGCCTCCTATAAAAGGACTTATTTTCACTTTTTTATGAAAGTTCGAGGGCTTATTCGATAGTTCTCCCTATATGCAAATTTTCTACTTGTAAAATAAAATCACATATTAAATGTCTTATTTTAGTTTGGTACAACTATTAGCAAAGTGATTGAAAAGTAAAAACATCACTGAATGCATATAGACGGATGGAGATGAGCATCTCGATTTTTCAGGATTTCAAATCAAACAAAAGAGGAAGAAAGAGAAACATGAGACATGTGAGGAATTAATGAAGAAGAAGGAAGAGACAGTGAAGAACGAGCCTCAATTTCACCACTAGATCTGAAATCGTTGTTGGCCGCCGCCGCGGATCGACACTCCTCCTTCGCTCAGCATCGCTCGCTGTTCCTCACCATGGATCGTCATCCGTCTCCATCATCGCCCATCTCACTTTTGAAGATGATGAATGGAGAAGTCTGATGCGTACAGCTTGTTGTTGCAAGAGGGAAGAAGCTGACGCGGACAAATTGTGTTGCAGGGGAAGAAGATGTGAGGATAGGGGAAGAACGGAGAGCTTGGCGCCACATAATTGAAATAGCTAGAAGGGGTAAAATTGTAACAATGATCCTATTTGGAGAATAAAAGTGTACATACTCCAATTTTGGAATTTAAGCATTAATTAATTTAATCCTATGTAGGGTAATAACTCATTTTTTTTTATTTTTAATAAAATCATCAAATCAAAAGAGAAAATAGGATAATAAGGAATATATTTGAGCCCGGCTCCATCTATTTCCAGATTTTGATTCCATTTTTCCCACGCCCGAATACACAAAACGGCGGGTCCAAATTCCAAAAACCGGCATGTCGGATATACTCCCCTCAAATTTCTAAATTCTCATTTTCACCCCTTTTCTTCTCCGCCTTCCATCCTGGCTCTCCCAGGTCGATACTTTTAGATTCACCTCACCGCTGAGCAGTCGCATTCAAATTCTCAACGCTTCATCTGTGACCCTGGGATTCGTGTGTGGTTTAGGCGCTACGTTTAGATCAAATCTGTTCATTATATCCGCGATCCGGATCACCCCCGCATTATGCGTATACATGTGCGTCTTCTTCTTTTTCATGATCTTTAGATCTTGACGGAGAAGATGGAATCGCAACCTTCCTCTTCGTCGGGAAGGTTCGAAGCTCAAGGAAGTTTCAACACTAAAATATCTAGGTCGGTTTCGGATTCCAACAACCATAGCCAGAGCTTAGCTTCAATTCTCAATAATCCTCATGCTGGGAAGTCTGATAGCTGGTGGTGGTCTGCCTCGGCGTCTGTTCCAGTCCCTGAGTTTACCCAGCTGCCGCCTCCACCCAAGCCCGGATCTGATATCGCCCGACCCGATTTTGGGCACTACTTGTCCTCCATCTCCGACCAGTATGCCCGTTTCCATGACATCCAACAGCATAGTAAGTTCGAGTCTATTGAAGGACAGAATGGTGAGAATGCACTTGTTGCCTGCCTACGGGAAGTTCCCGCTCTATACTTTAAGGAGGATTTTAGATTGGAGGAAGGTGCCACGTTCAAGGGTGCTTGCCCCTTCCGGACCACGACTGAGAATTTGGTTCTGCAAGATAAGCTCTCTCAGTATTTGGATGTAGTGGAACTGCACTTGGTGCGGGAGATTTCGTTGCGCTCAAGCTCGTTTTTTGAAGCTCAGGGTCAACTGGAGGATCTGAACGACAAGATTGTTGGAGGGTGTATTAGAATAAGAGAACTCAAGGAGTCCATAAGGCTGCTGGACGAAAATTTAGTGGGGTCTGCAAGAAAGGTCCACGAGTTGAGTGAGCAGAGAGGGGACTTGATTTCTCTCCAGAACAAGTTGAGGCTCATACTATATGTTAATCAAGCTCTTTCCACTCTTAAGTTGGTATGTACTAAAATTATAGAGAATATTTTAAACTGCAATATGTTTGTCTTTGCTACCTACATCTGCTATGATAGAATTTCATGATAGGTAGATGTTTGCATCTTGATTAGGATCACAGGAAGATACACTAAATTTAAGAAGCAATTGGAGGAAGTACCATAAGACAAGAAGTATTTTTCGGGCATAGCCCCTCAGTTTCAGAAATACTAACAAAACTCTTTCATTTAAAGAAGAACTGGTTTTTATGTCATGCCATTATAAAATTAGATATTATGGTTCCGTTTTCACTATGATGGATGGAAAATGAAGAATGTGTTTACTTGACTATAGAAATAAGGAGTGGAAAAGTGGGAGAGTAAATGAAGGGAGATTTGGAGAAGAAGAAATGTCTCCTCAAATTGAAAAAAGGGTTGGGTACCCAACATTTCACCCGTGTTTTCCAAGCAAACAGGTTTGTTAAATGTTCTTTTAGTTTGAAGTGGGACCGTAACATCATTTTGGATATCTAAAAAGGAGAATCCGGAAAATGATGAAAAAGTGAACTAATGAAGTTGGAAAGATGTAAAATTATCTCACAAAAGAAGAGGCCTGAGTGCCTGACTATCTCCTAATTTTAAAAGGTTATATAAAGATTGAGTTTGAGTTTGAATTCCACTGTTTAGCTACATAATTCTATAGCTGAAGAAAACAAAGAAAGATAACCGGTAGAACGTCTAAATATCGAGTTATGTGTGGATTTTCTTTGCAACTACAGCATGCATATCTACTCTTTGGTATGATTTGAATAATACCAAAGTTTACAAAAAAATCACTTAAATGGAAATATTGTGGTTTCAGAAGAGTGAGTTCATCGTTCTCAAGAGGCTTCAGCCCACATTATAATGATGTTATATATCAAACGAAGCGCGATGCTTCTAGGTTTAACTCATATGCATGGCTTAACAGATATTACCTCAGCCCAACTAAGATTAAGATATGAGGAGTGGTGTGATTATTAAGAAAAATGGAGTTATGTGGTTGATATTGAATTGGTAAAATGTGAATATAATAAATTAGAACTACACAAATGTTACCAAATATGACATGTATAAACTTAGTGTGACCGACAAAAAAGGAAAGATGAGACAAAGATAGGGGGACAGAGGGAGTAAGAATTTGTTGGATTTCCAGTATAAGATGATTCTGAACGCACAAATCTAGTTGTTAGTACTGTCTTTGCATTCTATTCTATGGGGTTGTCTTATATCCTTGTTAGGCTTTTCACGCTAACTAATGTGTTGGTATGTGTGTTGACCTAGCTACTAGGAATATAACTAGTCAACTTATCTTGCAATTTTTTAAAAAGTTTATAGATATTGGCTAGTTTTCATTCTATCCTTCCGTTCTTCTAATAATGCCTGTGGTTGCTTATGAACCGATAGAAACCTCTGTAGTCCCTTTAACTTTACAAGATTGAAATTTGTGATATTGGTGATCTTGAATTATGTTCTTTTCTTATTTTAGAAGTACCGTCTTCTTGTTTGTAGAGCCTGAGAAGTCATGAAAATTTGTTGTAGAGTATTATTAGAAAAGCAACAGGAATTGAAAAGGAAGAAGATGATTTCTCATTGATCTCAATGGCCAGTACATGTCTATTTATAATACAGATGCTTAACAGACTTGTAACTAACAATAGGCAGCTCTAACAGACTTACTGTGACATCTAGATTATTACCAAGCTATTACAATAGGCGTACATATAGTATTCCTTACATTCCCCCTGAAAGTTAGGGTGATTGATGTGTAAGATCAATCACACTAAGTTTGGTCCCGAAGTCAAGAAATGACGAGGCAGACAAAAGTTTTGTTAGAACATCAGCAAGTTGATGAGGAGCTTGAAAATGGAATACTTTAAGCTGCTTGGGTTGAACCTTTTCCCTGACAAAAAAGAGATCAATTTCCATGTGTTTTATACGAGACTATAACACAGGATTATGTGCAAGCTGGACTGTGCTGAGATTATCACAGTAAACTCTTGGAATAGTGAATGGAACTTGAAGTTCCCCGAGTAAAAATTGAACCCATAAGAGTTCAGCTGTTATGTCTGTTAAGCTTCTATATTCAGCTTCTGCTGAGGATCTGGCCACTCTTAATTGTGTTTTAGACCACCAAGAGATGATATTGGGACCAAGAAAGATGCAAGATCCAGATGTGGATCTTCTATCAAGAGGATCTGAAGCCCGATCAGCATCACAGAATGCTGAGACAGGCAGAGGTATGGTGGCTAGAGGAAGAGGTTTAATTATGATGCCATGTGTTATAGTGCCAAAGAGATATCTAAGGATATGTTTGACTGCCTTCCAGTGATCTTGTAGAGGTGTGGCCATGAATTGTCAGACTTTGTTAACAGCATAGCTAATCTCTGGTCGAGTTAGAGTTGCATACTATAGGACTCCAACTATGGATCTGTAAGTGGAGGGATCAGGTAGACAATCGCTACCTGTATTTGTTAGCTTGCAGCTGCTGACCATAGGTGTTTCGACTCCTTTTGAGTCAAGCATTCCAACTTTATGTAGCAGGTCTCTGACATATTTGGTTTGAGAAAGGTGTAAACAACCATTTCCCCAGTTTTCTAACTTCAATTCCTAGAAAGAAATCAATACCACCTAAGTGTTTGGGTGAGAAGGATGAGTGCAACTGATGAACGGGTTGTTGAATAACAGTAGGATTATTACCAATGACTAGGATATCATCCACATAGATTAAGATGTAGATTTGAATCCCAGAAGACAGAAAGATGAGTAGAGATGGATCACAATTGCTTTGTTTGAATCCAGCTGCATATAGGACAGAGGTGAGCTTTTGAAACCATGCTCTGGAGCCTGTTTAAGATCATACAGTGACTTGTGAAGTTTGCAAACCAGAGAAGTATCATGTACTTGAAATCCTGGGAGTTGAATCATATAAACCTCTTCATCAAGATTTCCTTTAAGGAATGCATTATTAACATCAAGTTGTTGTATGGACCAGTTATGAGAGACTGCTAGGGTAAGTAGAATTCTGATGGTAACAGGCTTGACAATAGGTGAAAAGGTTTCTCCAAAATCAAATCCAAACCTTTGATGGAAGCCTTTAGCCACTAATCTGGCTTTGAACTTATTTAGAGAACAATCAGAAATTTTCCTTAATTCTGAAAACCCATTTGCAACCAATAGCTTGCTTGTCGGGTGGTAGAGGAACCAAGGACCAAGTTTTATTTGCCATTTTGGCATCATATTCAGTCTGCATAGCTGAGAACCACTAAGGGGATGAAAGGGCTTGCTTAACTGACTTGGGCTCAGTATGAGTCAATAGTAAGGTAGGATGTAGTCTAGGTTTGACAATTTCTGACTTTGCCCTAGTTTGCATAGGATGAGTGTTAGTTGGATGAGGAGCTTAGTTTTAAAAGGCGCGAGGCGGCACGAGACGTTTTCATTGATTTACCCGAGGCGCGAGGCGCTAGGCGACGAGGCGCGCGCCTCACGGATCTTAACATCATATCTTTGGTAAGATATATAGTATACTATTTCTAGTCTTCTACATGAAGCACTCATCTCAAAAAATGATAACATCACAAAAATACTTCAAACTATTAAACAATCTTAACATACATCATAAGACAAATCAAATATTTATTAAGACAATAGCAAGAAATAAATATCAAACGGCATCATTGGCAAGAGTCAAGTCAGAAAACTCAATCTTAAAATTTCAAAACATAATTAATAAGATGTTATATAAAAAATTGTTAATAATAAAATCTGTCTTATATATTTGTTAAATAAAATCAAATATTTAGGTACCCTACTCAGCATGATCTAGAACAGACCAACAGAGGTAGTAACACTACAATTTCAAGGTAATAAAATAATACATACTTAATTAGTAAACTATCACACGTATAAGAGAACAAACTGTAGAAGAGAAGAAATAAATACTTACTTGCGACTACTCTGTGACGCGAGAAAGTAGCGGAAGAAACAACCTTGCGAGTCTTGCTACGCGAACAAGAAACAGGACCGCAGATGTGGGAACTCGGAAGCAAACCAAACGCAGAAGGAAGAAGGGAGAAGACTAGAGACTCAATCGCCAAAAGAGACATCCATGATGCGTGAGAAGCGCGCGCCTCTCAGAGGCGCAAAAGGCGTCAAAAAGCGCCATATAAGGCGCGCCTCTTGGAACCTATGCCGCCTGGGGGTGGAAGATGCGATAAAGTGATCGCCTTAGGGTGCCTCGCGCCTTTGCGCGCCTCAGGCGCGCTTTTTTAAACCAAGATGAGGAGAGGATGAAGAGGAGGATGTTATTGTAGGAGACTGACTTGGAGACAGAACAGGAGAGACAGATTGAACTGGTGATTCAGGAGAAGTGGAAGAGAATGAGTTAAATGAATCATTTCTTTCAGAGGCAGTTGATTGAGATTCATTATTATGAGAGAGAGAGGGGTCAATAGAGAGCTGGGATGAGTAAGGATGAATAACAGTTAAAGGGGCAGAGGGCAGAGACTGGAGTTTGAAATGCTGGATTGAGAGGATGTGGATGGAAAAAGGACAAAGTAAGGAAATCTGGACTCATGAAATATAACATCTCTGGAAATATACACTTTGCCAGAGGAAGAGAGAAATTTATAGCCTTTGTGTTGAGGAGAATAACCTAGAGAAACACACTCTTCAGAGTGAAAGTCCATTTTATGTTTATTGTGAGGTCTAATAAATGGATAACATGAGCAACCAAAGACTTTAAGAAGAGAATAATTTGGAATAAACCCATATAGTTTGAAATAAGGACTGGAGTTAGCAATTGATTTTGATGGAGTTCTATTTAGAAGGTGGACTGAAGTTGCAAAGGCAGTATCCCAAAATTTGAAGGGTAAAGAAGAGTGGGCTAAAATGGATAGACCTTTTTCCATAATGGTCCTATGTTTTCTTTCCACAACACCATTTTGATGGTGTGTGTGAGGGCAAATTATTCTGTGAGTAATGCCT